GGTAGGCCTTCAGCTTTGCGGCGGCGTGCTGACTTCATGCTGGGGTCTTCTACGATCCTCCAGGAGTGGTTCATCCTGTAGAACAACTCCATCTCATGGCCACCGTTCGCCTTCGTCAGCGAGTTCGCGAGCTGCGCCTCCGAGTGAACCCACCGTACGTGTAGCTGCGTTCTTTGCTGTGCCTCTTTCACGCTGAGGAGTTCAAGATTGGACTTACGCTCGGCTCCTTTGATGGTGAGAACTTCAGTGTTAAGTTTGTCATAAACATTTCTACTGTCAGTAATCAAGGTCACTGGAACCTTGCGAACACACTCATCAGGATTCCGAACATCCAATTCTCCAAAGCAAATCTCACTCCACTGATATCTCGCGAAGTAAAGCAAATCTTCCCCTGAAATGGCAGCTTGGCTTTCCGAAGCCCCAGGACTTCTGCATGCCCTATCAAATTTGTTAGAATGCCATGACATCAAGGACACCTGACCGACTGCACCATCCATCATTGACACAGGCGCGAGCCCTATCAGAATCCCTTGAGTACTACCTCCATCAGGGCGGTTTTGGGATCCAGCATCCACCCATGCATACATCCCCAAAGCTTCTGAATCGTTGTAGGCATGAAGAATCATCGCATGGTCTTTCCGCGCTCGCACCTGAAACAGCAACTTGTTAGCTCGGAGGATCAGAGAAACCTGGCTTCTGCTTACCTCGGAAAGCATTAAGCTAACGTCGGCCGAAAGATGGGGTGCCACTTGTTGAGCATGCCAGCTCAAAGCTCCCAACAATCCTCGGAGTTGCGACTTCTCCTGAGCCGTCGTATCATCCTTTTCTTGCTTTCGTCGCGTACTGCTGATGGCAATTTCAGGGATCCCTGCAACGTAGTTCGGCTGAGAGAGCTTGAATTGATTGTCCCCTCGAGTCACCTGGACCCCACATTGAACAAACACATCTTTATCCCAGTCTCCCCACTTGAAGCGTTCCTTGATATTCTGAATGATGCGCTGCCATCCGGAATCCTGCTCATTCCCTGAAAACAGGAAATCATCCACGTGACCAGAAATGATTCCCACAATGACTCCCTCCTTGCGGTACACCCAAGCACACGCGTCAGACCAAAGTCTAGTGAGCCCTTGAGCCTCGAAGTACTCAGCAACCGTCCGGTACCATTCCAGAGGAGCGTCAACCAGTCCGTAACAAGCTTTCCGCATACGAACCACGCTCCCCCCCTCAAGTCCCATGGCCTGGCAGATTTCATCACAAGGCACACACAGTAAGGTTTCCGGGTATTCCCGGCCTTGGAGGAACGCCCCGCTAACATCTCCTTTGTACACAGACCACTGCTTGTTCAGAACATCTGACGCGTTTGACGCGTCATGACTGGACTTGTAGTACTCCGATGAGCATATGCCGGGTCCTGATATCCTAAAAGAATGGCCCGCGCCTTCGCCTTGTAGGACCCGTCGTCACGTAGCTTCCAAGTAAGCAGCCACCTCATGCCCATTGCCTGACTTTTGTCCGGCCTCATCCCGGCAGGCAGTGCCTCGAATGCTTTCGAGGCGACAAAGTTCTTCACTTCCACGGCCTTTGCTTCTCTGAAGCTCTGCCTCTCTCCTTCAGACAGACGCCTTTCAGATACCTCAACAGCTTTTCGCTTCAAGGCACTTGCGAAATAGCCACACATGTCCCGAGTGGCCATATCCATCCCCCTCCGGGAGGTTGGCATATCGATGGCCACTTCCACTGCTGCGCTCTCTTCCGCCCAAAAGTTACAGTGTTCTCCAAAGTTTGCTGCGGGCACTCGTGTCCACCAGCTTTCCGCCTCCAGAGCGGCGTCGTGCAGGTGTTGCGTTGTCCGCGGCCTCCGCGGTCTGCTCGGTGCTGAAGGCTCTCCTGGCTCGTCTTGGAGGTCGTCGTGCATATCTGTGGCGGCTTCTGGCTCGCCTCGCTTGCCTCGCACACGCAGGCGTGGCACAGGAAATCGGGCTGGTTGTTCCTCTTGATCAGGATCTTGTGCCCTTTGCCACTCGCTGTCTGCTGGTATCTCCCCAGAGATGTCTTCGTAGCGGTTCCCGCCAATCTCTTCAGCTACCCTGGAAAAAGTCCAAGGTGTTCCGCCGCCTCCAGCTCGGGTAGCCAAAGCCTCTAGATGTTCCTCTCGTGGCGACGCATGGCGAAGCTGTTCCGGGCTGCACTTCATGAGGGATCTCCCCCTCACCAACCACACGGAACTCCCGGCTCGAAGTGATCCGTCGGCCTCTCGACGTCCTTCTGTCGCGAGGATCCGGGCAGGTCCAACCTGCCATGCTTGCTTCCTGGTGCTTTTCGCCCCTGGCCACTCTCCTGGGTTCGCCAGAAGTACACCAGGTCGCCTGCTGCATAATGGGCCTTTGGCCTGCTTCGAGAGTTCATGGCCCTGGTGATTCGCTGTTGTGCCTGCCAATCACACAAAGCCTTTTCTGCGGAGGCTCGGGCTTCTGCGGCCCGAATAAAATCCTCACTAGCATTCTCTACAACGCACTCATCTGGAAGGTCGCCTGGCCGCTTGATCAAACGCCCAGTCAGATCTGGATTCCTTCCAAAGGCATGCTGGGTTGGTGTAAAACCTCGGATTTGCTCTCTGCTGTTAAACACCTCCACAGCCAAAGAAAGGACCTCCTCTGGAGTGCGCTGATCATCTTCTGCAGTCAGACGATCCAACACATGCTTCAGTCCCTTCACAGCCTGCTCGCAAACACCCAGCTGCCAATGTGCATCAGCTGGAATCAAATCTAGGTATATGCCGTTCCGATCACAGTAATCTTCAACTTGTTTGCTTCGGAAGGCTCCGGCTGGGTCCAGACGGAGAACATCGGGACGCCCAAAAATCTGATTCCATCCCTCTCTAAGGTACTCGAGACATGTGGCAGCAGTCGGTTGTTGTTTGCTACCTCGACTCAGGATTTTCGCCGTCCGAAAACGAGAACCCTCATCAATGATAATCATGAACTGAACATGCTCACCCGTACGAGGGTGAACCCAATGGCCAATGTCAGCAGAAATCGTGTGCCATCTTGGGGGAAGAATCTCCAGAGAGGCTAAGTTTCGCGGAGGGGGTCGCTTTCTCTCTTGACACGCAGAACACTGGAAACGCCGAGCAATCTCAAGCACCTTCTCAGAAACCCCTCGACGCTTCAGCGCGTCCACCATGGTGGCAACACTCCCATGCCCGGTCGCAGAATGTAACAAATGAAGTTGTTTCATGATGCGTGCTTCCTCCTGAGTACTACTGGCCGCAGTCGCGGCATAGCTTTCACAGGCTTCAGTACAATGAGGCTTGAGGTGCTTGGGCTTCGGGGGCAGATTGAACCCTTGCTTCTTCGCTCGCTCCCTCTCTTCTTCACTCAGTTGATGAACTCCGCGGGACACGAAAGCCGTGATAACAAACCGCTCTCCCGTCCACTTCTGAGACTCATGCCACAACTTGGGTGAAAACCTCACCACCCGACCTCTCAACTCATGAACCCGGCCTTCGCATTGTTCGCCATTGGGGAGTTGTCGCCGAAGTCGCTGGCCCGTGGCGGGTGTGTCCGCCGTCTCTTGTACCCACAGCCCTCCATGCTGGAAATCTCCCAAGCCTATACTATGATTGTTGTAGGACTCATCATTGTTCACATCACGGTGCATCGGAAGAAGATTGTTCAGGCTGATGGTGATAGACGACCTGCAGAAGGGGCCTCCGCACCAGTTTTCCATAAAGGCATTCAGGTATTTCGACAACCACACAAACTGGCTACTCTTGTGGGTCAGGCCGTAATGGTTCCCATAGGCATACACTCCCAAGGTCACATACACCACTCTCTGGTCTCCAAGCATACGACGATGTTTATTGATGGGTCTCAAAGGCAGCTGTCTCAGAAGAGTCTCGCATGACTTCAAGGAAAAATCTTTGTGGTTCCACAGTTCTTGGGCCTGAGCTTCGGTGCTACGGAGTTCTTCGCTACTCATGAAAGCGGTACACTCTTCAAGGGAAACCTCAGCCTCACCTTCCTTAAGCTGACCCCCTGAATCCTCGAGGCTACTTGGCGCGCACAAACCACACTGGCACGTTTCGTTAGCTGTCCGAACCTCCGAACACACACAGCACAACCCTTCTCCGAAACCTTCAGACAAGCTACTTTGACCTCGCAACTCCTCTTGAACCTGGTTTGCATCAAGTTCCCGAATCATCACTCCAGCCACACGCTTACAGTACTCCTGAGTAAGATGAGGTTTCATCGCCGTCCTTGAACTCTTGAATTCTCCATGTTGGTACTCTCCAGCACATCTACAATGAAGACTCATGCATTCAGCCAGACGGTGACACGTGGTGGCAATCTTCCAACCATTCCGAATCAACGACCCTTCTTCCGAAGTCCTCAAATTCACCCTGCACCCCTTGGTCACCGCAACCTGCAATTCGCCCCGTTTCAACATCCTCTGAATGATCGGAAGTCTCCATCCGTTGCAGTGTTCGGGCCACTGCCAGGTGCAGTGGATACCTAGTTGTCTACAAGCATGCATAATGGTGATAGCTCCTAGATACTCCTTGGTAGCTTGACTTCGCTTGGCTTTGAGTTCGGCTTGCTGTTCTGGGCTGTCCTGGTTCATCTTCTGAAGGGGGGAGAAGGCTTCACTAGAAGGGCTAAGCCACACATGCCGAGGTCTCTCCAACTTGATCCGACTCAAGACCAAAGCAACCCCTTCCGAAGTCCCCAAGTCACACTTGTTGTGCTTTCCACATTGGCTGGCTGCTTCAGTTCGGCCTGTCATGCCTTGCACGGTGGCCGAGAGGAGGCTCTGCGGAGAGCTTACAACCTCCAAAAGAACCATCCGCCCTTCCACAACCAAACCCTCAAAAATCTTCGGAATAACCTCAGACCCCCACTGTTCAAGTTGACGTGCCCGTCCTAAGCTCAGCTGTTGGCTCAACTGCTGGGATGCACTCATAGTCTGAGTGGGTCCTTCGGTCTCCTCCTCGAGATCATCTACTTCGAGTTCACCACGGAGAAGCTCGTCGTTGACTCGTTGTCCTCGCCGATGGGCTTCTTGCGAGGTCTCTCCCCTTTCAAGGTGGCCATCTCCTCCTTGAGGGTCTCGATCGTCTGCACCAAGCTGGCCAAGACCTCGGTCCCCACGGTCACGGTGTTGGGGTCCTCGACGGCTGCTGAGCTGGAGCTGGCTGTCCCGCTTGATGCAGCTCCCTTCTTGGCCATCACATTGCCACTCATCTCGCGTGGGGTCGTACTCCACCTTGTCCTTGGTCTGGCCCAGCGTCATGAACTCCTCCTGTGCCCGCTTTACAAGCACAGGGTCGTTGGCCAGCCATCCCGCCAGCCTGCGCAAGCGTGGGTTGCATTGTCCTTCGCGAGCGGTCTGGATCACCCACGCACTGTACTGCGGATGCTCGGCCTTGACCGTGGCATACGTCAGCTGGCTGTGGCGCCCGAAACCCACCAGATCGGAAGGGTCGGGGCTCGCTTTCCCGTAGATCACCGAGAGCGCCTCCTTCTGCAGCTGAGCGATGGTGAGGTTGTAGTTGACCTCCATGTCCAAAGACTTCCGGCAGAAGGTCTGCAGCGAGGCTTTGCGAGTCGCCGCTTGATTCAAAGCCGTCACGTACATCTGGTACTCCGACTTCTCCTTCTTCTGCGGCTTGGTGTAGTCCACCCCGGTCACCTCCTCCACTCGTTGAAGAAGCTCGACCTTGGACCACCTCTTGGGGGCGATCTCGCCATGCTCGCTTAACATCTCTCGCAACTGGCCGGCTGTCTTTGGTGCCATGGCTGCACTGGCTTGAAGGGTGCGAATCTTCGGCGCCTCTTGATCTGGGAAGTGGCTGCTCGCATCCAGGAACATGTAATTCACGATGCTCTGCTTCTCTGCGGGCACGAATGTCACTGTGAACTGGCGCTTCAGAGACAGTAACCAAACCTTGCTGACTGTTCACAACACCCTCATGTTCAGGATCACACCTATTCTCTCGAATGGCAAGACGTTTCGTACTCCCATTCTGGAACCCCTGTCCTGTAACTACATCACATCCCTCCCGTTTCTCGACAGGACACAAGTCGGGGAGGAGCTGTCCCTACTCATCGGCAGGCGGATGCAAAAACCAATCAAGGCCCGGCACTTTCTGTACAGCGCGCTGAGCCTTGGCAAGCAAATCTTCGGAAAGAGGCACAACCAGGTGACCTGTGGCCGTCTGTTCTAACGGCAAGACCCTAGTGTCATCGATCGCCCTGAGGACCACCATCTTCGCCGAGAAATCGATGAGGGCGCCGAGCATGCTGAGGGACTCGACGCTCAGCAAGATAGGCCCTGTTCCCTGGTCTAGGGCATGTATCTGTACTGCCCCGGCGCGGTTCCCTGTGCGGATATCCCCATCTTCACGGTGGCCGCGCACTGGTTCATGGAAGACTTCCCGAAGCTGAAAACTGGACGGTTCGTAGAGTCCACTGAGACCACTCCTGACGAGCCGCGGGCCTTGATGTTCATCTCCATCAGGCGTTCTAGAGCATAGACAGAGCCGATACTGCGAGTGGCCCCGCAGTCCAAGATGGCCTTGCCTTGGGACACGGCCTCTGATGTGGAAATGCCTGTAGCCAGTGCCGACTCTGCCTCTGGGATCGCGTCCTCCAAGTAGCCGATGAATGCGCTCGTCTCCTCGTTGGCCTCCTGCTGCTGGTGACCTTCAGTGAGCCCGAGGTCGTCCTTGGAGATCTCCGTGGGCTTCTCTGGGATCGCGTCCTCCGCGTAGCAGATGAATGATGCTGTCTCCTCGTGGGCCACATTCGCTGCTGGTGGAGGAAGAGGACAGTTGGCCGCCCGATGGCCTTTCTTCTGACACCGAAGACAAATGATTTGTGAGTCATCTCGCGGCCGCTGGGTCCCCGAGGAGCTGCTGCCACTGGACCGGGCGCCCACCTTGTAGTACTGCCTCGACATCTTGACAGCATGCTGCTTTGCCCTGGCATCCCGAAGTGTTCTTCGAGCCGTGTTGATCACTGCCATGGCTCCCTGGATGTCGTTCTGAGCCTCGCTCCACATTGCGAAACTGTCATCATCGAGGGTCTCCTGGGCCTCGGCATCGTCCATGACCTCTTCTGCTTCATCATCCCAAGTTTCCTCCTCGATGGAACCCCAGTAACCATGCTGGCGCTTATTCGTGTCTCGCTTTTTCATATCCCCATCCGGAAATAGAGTCCTCATAGCGTGGGCGATGGCATCCACGCTGTAGTCCTCACCCGTGGTGGTCATGACAAGTCCTCGCTCATTGGAGTCCAAGCCCGCATCCTGCAGCAGCAACCAACCTTGGATGAAATCCGGAATCAGCTCCGGAAGCGTCTCGGTAGAGCTCGCATAGCTCTTCCAGGATTGCCCTTGGTATCCATAGGACCACTGGTCCCAGGAAGAGCCTGTCCAGCCTCCCCAATAGGAGCTGGTCCACCAATTCTCTGGAGTCCAAGTCCAGCTCGAAGCGGGTGCGGCGGTGGATTCGTCTTCCTCTGGAGGTGGATCATCCGCCCCATCGGTCCCGGAGTCCACTGAGCTTCGGCGGCTCCACGCTCCGGCGTGGCTGCCCCGCTCATTGACCGTCCATGGGCTCTCGGTCTTTGCCTTGCGGCCTGTCTTACCCAATCTGGCCATAGCCTGTTGGGCCCGCAAATAGACCTCACTGCGTCGTGCCACATAGTCATTGATACTTTCTCCTGGTTTCCTTCTACTGTACTTGAAGAACTTGCTCAAGTGCTCCGTCACCTCGGAAATCTTCGGCCTGCCCAGTCCTTGGCGCAGCTTCTCTATAAGCCTTTCTACGCCTCCTGCAAAGGATAGCCAGTCTGCCGGCTGTCCCGTGATGAACTTCTTGGCAGACCCTGTCAATTCCGCAGCGATTCGCGGAGCCACCTGCGCCCTCTTGTGCGGCGCAGTTCCCTGTTCATAAAGCCTGGCAGCTTCCACAAACTCGGAAAAACCCCCTGGGTCACCATCCCAGATAGGTACTCCATCCCGGGTCCTCGTGGTTGAAGCTGCCCCACTCGTCATCTCTCTGATCGGCCTCGCGGATCAGAGCCTAATTCCCCTGGATCGTCACCTCGACGAGCCTTTCGTCAGGCTCCAACGCTACCATGCAAGTGGTGGCCGTGCTCTCAAGT